GAGTACCCTGATCGAAGAGGAGGGTGACGTGTGGCCAGGGTCACTCTAGAGGTTCACCATCACTTTTCACCTTTTCCCAAGCTCTGCTCATAGGTCCTGCTGCTTATGCAGCAGTCCTTGAGCTCTGGCTCCTAGGGGTAGAGAAACCAAGGGTCCTCAGTGCTGTCCTTTCAGAAAGTGGTTCTGTAGATGTCACGAATGACTGGATCCCCTCCCACAACGCCTGAACGGAGGCTGAGCATCATACACAGAGCACACACTTGAGTTCTCTAGTGGAGTCTGAAACATGTTGATGGGATCCTGGCCCCACTGAGTCTCTTACCCCAGGTAATCCTGCCCGGTGTTATGCTGCTGCATTGGACAGAGGGGCTTAGACAACAGTACTAAAAGAAGGAAATGGGCATGGGGTGGAATTGAATATGATCTTCCAACTCTTGAAGACCTTCTAGCTTGTCTGACCACTTGAAATCCACATGCAACAGCCACTGACCACTGCCTCATCTTCTCTAGCAGGGACTAACGATGCCCTTGGCCATGATACACCCCCAGCTGCTACCTGCTCATGTTCAGCCTGCATGACTGAGCTGCTCCAGCTGTTTCCTGTGAGTATAAGGCACAGGCCAAAGTTTTTTCCCAGAAATATTTGGGCTCTGAGTAGGAAGATGAGTGTAGAGGGAGTGTCTAAAACCCTGGACTCAGAGAGTAGACCTTCAGAATCCTTTTGTGGACAACAAGCTTCCCTCTTTAGTGACTCCTGTCCCTTGGGTTGGCCACAACTGAGTTGTTCTGCTCCAGATCTAATAGGACTTGGGTGGGAACATGGGAACTTTGTTCTCATGAAGCTACTCAAGAAGCAGATGTTTTAATAGAAATCCACACTAGCCCTGAAGTCCTGGCTTGGACACTTCCTATCCTGTGACTTCAGATAGGTCTCTGAGAAGTCCAGACACTTGCTACCCTATGACTTCAGACAGGTCTCTAAGAAGCCCGACCTCTCCACCCGTGTTGCAGGACTTTTTGGTAAGGTCCAAGAAGGTATATTGGTTACTTTTTGCTGTGAAACAAACTTAACAGCTTAAAACGACACACAGAACATCTCAGAGTCTCAGAATCAGGAGTCCTGTTGCAGAGAGCTGAGCCCTCTGCTTCAGCTTGTGCCCTCTGCATTTGAGGCGTGGGCTGGGCTTGAGGTTTCATCTAAACCTCCACTGGGTGGTTGGGAAACAGACTTGCTTCTGATCTTACTTGTGTGACACTGATGGTTCTGTTACTTCTGGGCCATGAACTAAGGACCTCAGTTTCCAGATTGCTTTTGGCCACAGTCCATCTGCAATGCCTGGTGACATGGGTCTCCCAGCACAGCAGCTCACTGCATCAAAGCCGGCGACGGGAAAGAGCTGCCTCATGAAAAAGAAACATGTATCCTGAGCCTGCCCACAGAAGTGACTTCTCATTACCGTCACTGCTTTTTTGCTGGTCAGAAGGAAGTCATAGGTTGCATTCACACAGGCAGGGAGAGCAGCGGGCAAGGTGTGGGTGCCAGGGATGGGGATTACTGGGGGCCATATTTAAGTCTGCCCAGAATAAGAGGGGATATAAATGGAAATGCCTAGTAATCTGTGCCATGCTATTTGTCAGTATAAGGATTTACTGTTATCATTTGAATCAAATTGCTAAAAGGGAACTAACTGTGCCTGAAATAATAGGGAACCACTAAGTGTAGGAATTTAAGGGCCAAATTGTACTATTAGTACTGGGTCCTCAGGGAAGTGGACTTGGTCTACTTAGCTTATTTTACACATTCTATACATGCCTTCCTGGTTTGCAAGGGCACATTTAAGCAGCCAGAAAATGTCTGAGACTTCTCCCCCAACCCCACATAACCATCCTGGATGAGGTCTTTAAAAACATAAAAGAGTACCAGGCATGGTGGTGCACACCAGCATTAGGGAGGCAGAAGCAGGCAGGTCTCTGTGACTTTGAGGTCAGCCTGGTCTACATAGTGAGTTCCAGGTCAGACAGAGCTACACAGTAAGACCCTACCTCAAACAACAAAATATATATACATACACACAAGAGCCGGGTGTGAGGGTTCACTCCTGCAACCCTAGTACTTAGGAGACAGAGACAGGAGAATTGCTGAGCATTTGAAGACATTCTGGACTACATGGTGAGTTCTGGGAAAGCCTAGATGACAGGATGAAATGCTGTGTCTAAAACATAAAACAAAAAGCAAAACCCACAAACTTGTATGAAAGATGCATGTGAGATATCTCACAATCGTTTGCAAGGTTGTTGTTGTGTGTGTGTGTGTGTGTGTGTGTGTGTGTGTGTGTGTGTGTGTGTAAGTTATTCAAGGCAGAAAGGTGAGTGTCCAAGACGGGGTAGCTGTGTAGGACGCAGGTGGGCTCAAACCCCAGCCATTTCCTGTAGCGCCCCTCTAGCCCATTTTAAGACACTGCTACTCGATAGCTCTCTAGAACTGAAAGAGGGGAGACGCTGTTCTTACAAGGCTTTCCCATAAGCCCTTTTCTTCTGAAACATCCCAGCAGAGTGGGATAAGGCTTCGAAAGCCAATGTGCTGGCTTCACACCTGCCACACCAAGACTTTCAGTGGGGTACGTTCCTGCAGTCACATGGTAAGCTTGCAAGCAAACCTCAGCAGTATGCGTGGAACTAGGGGAGGGTTCCCTGATGTTATGCTGGTATCGTATAAATTCGCCCCAGCATGAGAGTCATCTCCGCCCCCCCCCATCTACCCACCAGATGCTTCAGGAAACCCCAGAAACATGGCCTACCAGACATCTGGGCAAAGTCAAATCCATCTTCAACAGGAAGCTCAACTTTGTGTGGAAAATTAAAAGTTGCAACCTGCTGTCCCCTAGTGGTCAATTAAAGTAATAACTGTCAGTCCTTGACAGTTACAAAGAACCAATTACCCAACTTTTATTGAGGCACATAACACCTGGCTGTTGTGTTCCAGGGTGTGATGTATAATATTGGGAGTGGCGGGTGTGGGAAACAGTATAGCACAGTCCTTTGTTGCAAAGGGTTTCTAGCTTAGTAGAAGAATCAAAAATTGACCAGCAGGGCTAGAGAAATGGCTTGGCAATTAAGAGCACTTGCTGTTTTTTTGCAGAGGACCCTGATCCAATTCCCAGAATCCACACGGCAGCTCACAGCCATCTGTAACTCCAACTCCAGGGAATCCAAAACCCTATTCTGACTTCATCAGGTACCAGGTACACATGCAGTGCACACACACACACACACACACACACACACACACACACACACACGTGCAAACACCATACACATAAAAAATAAACATATTGTTTGTTTTGAGACAGGGTTTCTCTGTCTAACAGCCCTCACTTTGTAGACGAAACTGGCCTTGAACTCAGAGATCCACCTGCCTCTGCCTCCCAAGTGCTGGGATTAAAGGCGTGTGCCACCACACCTGGCTTAAGTATATATATTTTAAGTTGACTAGCACCCACCAAAATGAGACTTGAAGAGTAGAATATGGAAAGGCATTGCAGTAGGGTCTCTGTTAGTCATCTGTCCTACAGCGGGTTTGCTTCCGTGCTTTCCGCTCGTGTGTCGCAGCCTTTCCAGGTCCCTTTCAGTTCTCAGAGCCTTGTCCCCAACCCCACCTCACCCCATGTCCTTCACCCCCTGGGCTGTTTCACTCTCTCATCTTGGATGATTCATCTCAGATCTTATAGGGGGCATCTTCCTCAGTAATCAGCACCCCTTCCTCCGTGGCCTGCACCCCTGGTCTATGGTCAGTGTCATAGGGTGTCTGAACTCCTTTCCATCACTAAACTCTAAACATCCTAAGAACCAGGACTGCCACGTGGGGCAGGGCCTTCATCTGGGGGAACACTGGGAGGTGAGGGGAGGTTAAATGGTGGTGAGCATGCAAGACATTGGGGAGGGTGAAGCCTTTGAAGCTGTGTCCGGATGGGCGTTTCTTCCACTCTTTGGAAGGTGGCAGGAAGTCCTAAGTGACTTTTTGTGCACATGATCATCTTTCTCCACTTATTCAAATTTTACACATCATTCAAGGTGCCAAGAAGCCTTTCTTGGCTGCCCCAGTCCTGAGCCCTTGCCTCATCTCTGGATCCTACTGCAGTGCCTTTCCATATTCTACTCTTCAAGCCTTAGTTTGGTGGATGCTGGCCAGCTTTAAAATGTGTATTTATTTTTCAGGCAGTGCTAGAAAGATAATGGAGTCGCAGGCAGGGACCGGAGGAAGAGGGTGACGTACGGCCACGCTACAAAAGGAATGGGACTCAGACACAGACCCCGGGATGTTAGTCATGAAGCCAGTACACCAGCAGTTCAGCCTGCACTGGCCCAGGGAACAGAAGACTGAAGTAGATCAAAAGGATTTGAGATATTTCAGTCAGAGCACCTGGGCACATCCAATACCCTGATCAAAATAATGTGCAGGAAATCACCCAAGAGCTTTTTAAAATGCAGACTCCCGCTCCCGGGCCCTTCGTAGGCAGGAGATGCTTTGCTGCTAGCACACGCCCAGACTGCTGGTCCGCAGACCAGTCAGTAGCAGCAAGGCTGCCTCCTCTAAAGAAGCAGAAGCAGACTTTCTAGGAGCGCCTGGTGGGCAAGTGGTACCTTAGGGTGAAGGAATGGATACCCTTCATCCAGGTGAGCACACGGGATGCACGACCTGATAAGCAGGGTGCAGCTGAGGCCCAGATGTGGAATCATGACAAGCAGGGAGAGCTCAGGGGTAGACATCCATCTGGAAAGCAAAATAATGCCTTCATCCTGTGTATATTGAGTTGGCGATAATCGTGGGGCATCCAAGAACAATGTCAAGAAGAGAATGGGTGGAGATTAGGGAATACACTAACCCCAGGTACCTTTTTCAGGGAGTAACATTTTCCCCAATGTCTCTGTCCCTTTTGTTGTCTTACAGGTCATCGTTCCCTTCACTGAGTGTAAGTCCTTGAAGCCCTCCCTCCATCCTCCAGCCATCAAGCCCCCACTCTCCTGCAGGGGTGGGGTGGGGTCCCCATTTGCCTGTGAGGCTCAGAAACCACCACACTGGCCTGCCAAAGGCCTGGATGACCTCACCCAGAATTTGCCTCTGCCCTCTTCATTTGACCCAAGAACCAGGACCAGTGTCCCTAGTCTGACCATGGCGTTTTGGGAACCAGGATTCTGCCTGCCAGCTCACTCTGGGCTCATGTCTCCAAATGTTCAGAAGCTGTTAATATTTGTGCCCAAGAGAGAGGTGATAGACAGCCCAACTTTTAGGGGGAGCCAGGCTGGTTGGAATTCCAGGCAAATTTGTCAAAGCTTCAGTGCAGTGCAGTGCCTTGTGTATTGAACAGGGATAATGAGTAGCTGTCTCAAAAGATTAAAGGGAGGGTTCCTGAGCCATTTCTGGGAAGGGGGAATACTTTGTATAATGCCTCACAGACAAAGCCCTTGTAGTATTCCCTCTTGGAACCACAGGAGCAGGAAGTCAAGAAGGGGGCAAAGACAGGAGCAAGAGATACCACTAGGTCAGCACAGGGCTTATCTTGCAAGCATGAGGACCCAAGTTCAGTCTCCAAAGAGGACCTGAGTTTGATCCCTAGAACCCACACTTAAAGTCAGAGGTGATGGTGGGCATTTGTAAGCCAAGGATCAGTGAGTCAGAAATGGGCAAATTCCTGGGACTCCATGGCCATCTAACTTACTCTACTGGGCAAGTTCCAGGCCAGTGAGTGACTGTCTCAAAAAGAGTGGTTCCTGAGGAACAATACCTAATGTCCTCTGGGCTCTGCAGACACACACACATACACACACACACACACACACACACACACACACATTCCCATACACAGACATGCATATAGTAATAATAGTAATAATAGGAGTAGGGAAAGAGAAGGTCCAGAAGACTAAAGGAGAGACAGAGCAGTCAGCACTCTGCCTGTCTTTTCCTCCAGCAGCCGCGCCCCCCACCCCACCTACTCTGGGTTAAGCATAGCAAGTCCTCTGCCTTCCGGAAGTCCATTCGGGCCTGGGTCCACTCAGCTCCTGTCGTCCTACCTACTTCTGTGCAGAGAATGTGGATCAACTATTCCTCACTTACCGGCATGCGTCTTTGCAGAGTTTGATGGGGCGCCGGGCGGATGACAGCGGGAACAGTTGTGATCACTGGCGGAATCCTAGCTACAGTGATCCTCCTCTGTATCATTGCTGTCCTGTGCTACTGTAGGCTCCAGGTTAGTCCCATGGGCCTACAGCCAGAGGCTGGGAGGCCGCCAGCGAGCCACTTCTCCATGACTGGGGGCAGGGACTGGAGGTCCACTTTGGAGGAAACAAAACCCAAAGCCTTAAAATACAAGAAGCACAAGTCACAGAGACTGAAAATTGAACGTGCTCAGAAGAGAACTGTACACGTAACCTCCCCCAACACACACACACACACACACACACACACACACACACACACACACACACACACGTTCCCTGTACCCTACAGAGGCACGGGAGTTTCCTGGCAAGATGCAGGGCTCTCACATTCACCTCTCCAATTCATAGGGATTGGTGGGAAAGTCACCATCCTGGGAAACTCTGAGAGCTACTGCAGCAGCCTCCAGCCTTGTCCTAGTATTCACGTATGTGCCTCCCTCTCTGCGTCCCTGCCCACCAGGATACACTGAGAGAAAGGGAGAAGTATTGACTTGGTAAAGCTGGGAGTAAATGGGATGTGGGCCCCTAGTGCCGGAGCATATTTCCCTCCACCGACCAAGTAACAGTCACCAGGTATTCCACGGAAGGCGGAGGAGGGCTATTCTCACTGGCGATGGGAGGAGGGGGATCTAGACTGCCTCTCAAGCATCCCTCTTCCTTCTCCCCAGTATTACTGCTGCAAGAAGAACACAGATGACGAGGATGCTGAGGAGGAAGAGGAAGAGGAGGAGCACAACCTTTCCATCCATCTCAGAGCCCCCACCTGCAATGCCTGCAGTTCCCAAGCCCTGGACGGCAGAGGCAGCCTGGCACCTCTCACCAGCGAGCCCTGCAGCCAGCCGTGTGGGGTGGCCAGCCACTGTACCACTTGCTCCCCATACAGTACCCCCTTTTACATACGGACAGCTGACATGGTGCCGAATGGGGGTGGAGGCGAGAGGCTCTCTTTTGCCCCTACACATTACAAAGAGGGGGGAACCCCATCCCTCAAATTGGCAGCACCCCAGAGTTACCCGGTGACCTGGTCAAGTTCTGGGCATGAGGCCTTCACTAATCCAAGGGCTATTAGTACAGATGTATAATCCTTTTGCCCCAATCTGCACACACCCAACACTGTCCCAGCAGGAGCAATGGAGTGGAGGGCACCTTCCAATAGCCCCGCAGGAACCATCTGAGTTTCTCTGGCTTCCATAGCAGAGGGGTCACTAGGATGTGAGCTATTAAATGCATCGAGGACCAGGGCAGGGCCTACGGCCCGGATGTGGCGACCTGGTAAGTCTGCAGTGTCACCAGTTTCTCTCTGGAGATTTCCCTCTACCACAACCCCTTCCAGTCAGCCCAAACCCTTTGCTTTGTTGGGCGGTGCAAAGGAGCACCAGGGAAGGCTCAGCGAAAGCTCTGGAGGCTGCCAGAGACCTTGGGAAATGAAGTGGGCATGCCAGGAAGAGATGGACACAGGGGAAAGGTGAGGACTAGACATTCCAGAATTTGAGAGGAGACAGAAAAAACATGGTAAAGGAACCCTCAGCTTTGCTTGTTGGAATGCACCCATGGGTTAATGTACACTCATTTTTTTCTAACTTTTGTTTGCCTGCTCTGACAGAGACATGAGTTCTGGAAACACTACATCTGCTATCTCGCCCCTCCCCATGAAATGCATCAAATTGACACTAAGTGCCAGGGGACCACAGCAAGAAGGGTCTATACAACCTTGCCTCTCCTTCAAGCCATTTCTTATGCCCACTGCTAGAGAGCCTTCCCCAGACTTTAATCACTGCAGTTCTAAAAGCCTAGTGAGCATATCTCATGGATTACCTCTGTCCCTCCATGCTTAGCCACTGATGTAGATTCAGCCCTGTGAGGGTGTGCGCATGCCCATTCCTGGGGGAGGGGTACCCTTTCATGTACTCATCACCAGCAACGACATTGTGGCTTTGCCTCCTTTAAGAGCTGCAAAGCTGAAGGGTCCAGGGTCCCAGTAAGAAAGAAAATATTGGCCCTCTAGCAGCTGGACCAAAAGGCAACTAAAGTGGCCAGTCTCCATGGCAACCAGAAGGTGGGCCCTAAGGCAATGCTGCAGTAGCATGCACCTGCACAAGCTCCTCTAGAGGCTTATGTACCCTTTGAGCATTCATCTGTGATGTGACTTTGGGAACAGGACCATTTTATCCCATCAGAACTCTTCCCTGAGTTCTGGGGCCGGGCAGTGGGGGTCCCTCTGAAGGTTTGCTTTGTCTCATGATGAAGAACTATTTTTCTGTCTTCCTCTAGTCCCAAATCCCCACACCTCCCACTTAACTATCACCTAGCAGTGGCCTTATGGGTTTTTATTGTTGTTTATTTGTTTTGTTTTGCTTAGATATTTTTGTTTTGTTCTGTTAAGTTCTCCAGTTACCTCTGTGGCTCAAGGGTCACTGTCCCCACTCTAAGAGTGTAATTAATGCTTGCACATTCCTGACTCACACAATGCTGGGAGGGTGGGCCAGGAGAAGGGCTGGTCTTTCTCTTGAACTCTTGGTTTGTTCGTTGGTTGGTTGGTTGGTTGGTTGGTTGGTTGGTTTGACAAAGAGTATGCTACACCTGACATCTCCAACTTGGTTAGAAGCAGAAGACAATCTCTGGCCATACTTTGTTCACTCCTTAGCCCTGGGACCAGTCAGGTATTTTCACTGAGACTTCCATTTTTCTCCAGGGGAAAAAAATGCCTAGATGGACTCTAAATGTATATCCAAGACATCTTAGAAAGATCTGCTAGTCATCTCTTTCCTCTCTCCCTCACCCTGCCAGGGTTAGACAGACTCTCCAGCTGTCTGATCCTGATACAGGGGTATTTGTTGTGGGCTGGAAACTACAAAAGAGATGGGAGGACGCCCACAGGGTTAGAAGGGAATGCTATTTCAATCGCTGGTGAAAGGCGAACAAATCAGACCTAGGGCTGTAGTTGGTTGAGTTCTTGACCAGTGCATAAAGTCCAGGTTCCCATCTCCAAAACCACAGAAACCCAGCATGGTGGGGCACTCCTCTAAGATCCATCACTCAGGAGGTAGAGGAAGGAAGATGGTGGTTGTTCAAAGTCATCCTTGGCTGTATAGCAAGTTCAAGGTCAACCCGTGCTCCCTAGGACCCTGTCTCAAAAACAACAACAAAATATTTGTCTAACCTGCTACCAAGCAACCTCAACTGACAAGTGCTGCTGCAGGAAGTCACAGTAGGAGGGTCGATGAAAACTGTCCTCTGGTGCAAAGGGACGGTTCCAAAGCTCCAGTGCGATCAACCCTAACATCTCCTCCCTGGGCCGAGCGCAATCCCTTGACTTACTGCCAGGCCTGGCAGCTCTCCCCACTTCCTCGCCACCAGCCCAGTGCCTTGCTCTCCAGTGGTTCCTTCACCCCAAATCTCAATGCCGTCATCACACCAACGCCTCTGGGTGAAGCAGGACAGCCCAGTCAACTGTAACCCACTTTTGTACTCTGGCTACAAAGCACCCTTTGCCTTTGTGTGTCCTTTCTCGGCTTAACCCACACGTCAAAGGGGGAGGAGAAACACACCCTTCCCTTCAGGCCCCGTCACTGAAGGCACAGGCTCCACCATAGGTGGTGGGTCACCTGCCCACCTGTCTCCTCACTGTTGCATCATGGGCTCCACCCTGGGGAAGAGAAAGCTCACCCAACTCAGCTGTCTGTCCCATGAGACACTATTTGTACGCTCTTCAGACGGAACCCTGACCAGGAAGAGGAGGAGGAGGGGTCGGGGATAGCCAGTCCTCTCCACCACCCTTCCCCACATCACTCCGCTGCTCCTGCTGCAGATTTCTTGTCTTGCATCTTCGATAACTTGGAATACAACCAAGTGAATGTCAAAATAAAGGAGAAATTTTAAATAGAACACCCCAGAGGGTCTTCCATTCTTCACCCATGGAGGGCCAGCTCATTTGAACACCCAGATGAATACTCATATGAACATCCAAAACATTCATTTTCAACACTGCAGTCAACTCACTTCACTCTCTTTCGAGGTATCCCTCTGCTGACTCAGCATCCACAGCCAGCGAGGATTTCCTGTTTCTTGAGGAAGGGGCTTTAATGCGTTAGAGATAAGTTGTGGGTGGCAAAGAAAAAGATTGCAATTTCAGCTGAAATGCCCAGACATGGCAAACTTTATTATTGATCAAAACTTCAGTACTCTGAAGAGCAAACACCCATGGACAGGAAATGTATTTGGTTTTTATTCTCACTCCTGGGGTGACTGTCTTTTCCCCCATTGCCTGGGATCCTCACAGTCATATTCAACTGACTAGCCTGAAAAGAATTAGTGCACAGGAACTGCAGGAGAAAGGGGAGGGGCCATTGCTCCAAGGTGTCGGGGTCACTGTTCCAGACCATCAAGTTCCCAGAATACAGCAGGGCCTTTGTGTAAACAAATATTTTAGTGGGTGGAAAGGTTATTAAATTTTTTTGCATAAAAGTCTTGCTTGGTGGAGGAGATAAAAAGATGTGAATTTCTTGTCCTAAACGCAAGTTTTACAGTATTTATTTGACAGTTCTTACAGGTGTCTTGGCCAGGATGATGAATTCAGTAGTACAGACTTCTGCCCCCTCCCATTGTAGGCCTGCAGCTTCGCCACCTCTCTCTACTTTTGGGTCAAATTGTTGTTTCTCAGAAGACTTAACAGTGTTACGCAATCAGTCCTGTGTGGTATGGGGAGGGAGAGACGGGAGACGGTTGTAGAGAGACTGCAAAAACAAGAGAATGGAGGCTAGAGAGCAGAGAACTAACGTCATGTGTGAAAGGGAAGGCCAGAGGTTGGGAGAGGTACGTGCCTGTAGTCCCAGCACCAGGAAGGCAGAGGCAGGCAGATGTCTGAGTTCAAAGGTAGCTTGGTCTACAGAACAAGTTCTACCCAGAAAAACTCTTGTCTTGAAAAACCAAAAAACAACAAAAGGTCAGGGATGAAGTCAGTGCGCCTGCATTTGTGTTACACAGGAGTAGAAGAGAGTAGCTCTCCCCACCTCAAAGGCCAGGACTATAGCTGGATGGACTGCAGTTGGGTGGCCAAGACAATCCTGTGCTAAGACTTCCGGCCCCGCCACAGCTGAAGTGCAGCTGCGCCTCAGGGAGCAGCTGGCCTCTGTTCTGCTAATGTGGTTCACTTCTGAGAACCAAAGAGCCTGAAGCACATTTTTATGGCGCCTTATGCCCAGCTGCCCCCCACCCCCACCCCCCCATCATCCTGGGATGCCCTAAAAGGCAGAACTGCCCTTAGTATATCAGTTTGGCCTCAGGCTTGTGGTAGAGCAACCATCTTCGTTCAGCCCTTTTCCAGATAGCCTTTGACCTAAGACTCAGGCCACTGCTCTGTCCAGGCCCAAACGGGAAGAAGAAAGGGGAAGAGAAGCAATGTTCATGTCACAGGTGGGAGGACTGGGTGGGAGGGGAGGAAGCCACTGAGAACACAAACTTACAGGCTGAGCGCTAGATTTCTGAGGCAGCTTAGAGACAGGAGGCAAAAATGAGACCTGTCTGACCTGAGGGAGAGGGGTAGACACAGCAGGAAGGGGAAAGGGTGTTTGCCAAAGGGGAAGGAGAAACTTGGGGTTTATATAGGAGGTTCGTGAAGCGGGAGTTAAATGCAACTTCCAGGGCTATGTGCAGCCTGCAGTTTCTCCCTCCTGGAGTTGTTTATCCAGACACAGCGTTCTATCTTTAGAATCTCACTTGCCCAGGCTATCTGGATGCGGGTGATACCAGGAGGCTGAGTTCAAAATGGCAGTGAAGGGGGTTAAAGGGCTGGAGTTTCAACACAGGGGCAGGAGGTTTCAATAAGCTTTAGGCCCTGAGACTTAGGGGAACTGAGACTTACTTGGTTAGGGTCTGGCAGTTTGTTCCAGGTTTATTCCAACACTGCAGCGTGCCCACACCTTGGCAGATCTATGTCATCTGTCAGGAAGCATCTTGATGTATTTAGGACAAAAAACCATTTCTCATGATTAAGGAGGGTAGTTTCTCACGGACTCCTCTTTTGAGTAGCCCTGACCTGTTCCAGAAATGCAAGCAATGAATAGCCTGCCAAGACCTTGCCCCAACCAAGGAGGAAGTCACATCTCCTTCCTTAAGACTCACCCCACAACCCCGGGTGTACCAGCTCCCAAAGAGGTCTCTTACCAAACACAAGCAGTCCTGGAGGAGACTTGATCCGGGCCTCGGGGAAACGTTTGGCTATCACACTTCCTCGCTACCTTATCACTGTGGGCCCCCTCTGCCATACACCAAGCACATCGAGGTGGGAAATGAAGAGCACCATCTTGGAAAGTTCAAATAGGTGTGACAGTTCCCGTCCCCATAGGGATGGGCACCAGATGCTTGGTGGCTGAGTCTCCTTGAGTACTTGAGTTCACCTTCCCTTCTGGATTTGACCATGCAATGACATGAGCCTGAGTAGGGGGCATCTCAGGCTCTATCTGAGGTCCTTTGGCATAAACCACACCTGTGTCCACTCCTGCCCATCCACAAAGGGGCAGCCCTTGACCTGGGGTTCTTTGACCTATTGAGAATTATACTCTTGCTCTGAAAACTAACAAGAGCTCTCACCTTGAAACAATCACATAAACATTTTAAAACTAAGCTAGAACCCTCACCTTCTCCTAAAGTCCTCTGAACTCCATCCCCAAACCAAGAGTGATTAATAAAACCCAGACCTCAGCCCTCTAGATATTGAGACTCTCACTGCCCTATTCTTCCTTGCCCTGAATCCCTCTTCCCATCCTGTCTGCCCCTCCCCTAAGGAGAAGGGGTCTGGGACTGGGAACAATGGAGGAGAAGCCTAAAAGGAAAAAAAATAAGAAATTTTAAAATAGACGAAAGTTGTAACATAAAACATGCCTGAGATAAGAAAATTTCAAGGTTACGCACTCCAATAAAAAAGCAGTCTCCTCTTGGGGACTGGATAGTTCAGTGGTTAAGCGCACTGGTGGCTCTCACAGAGGACCAACATTCAATTTTCAGCACCCATATGGGGGTTCATAGCTGTCTATAACTCCAGTTCTAGGGGATCTAATGGTCTCTTCTGGTCTTTGTAGGCACTGCATGGACACGATACACAGATACATGTGAAGGCAAAACACTCACACCCAAAAATGAAGTAGAAATAAATCATTTTATACAGTCTTCTGTGGGGGCCTGGAAAGACGGCTCAGCATGTAAGAAAGCTTGTTGCACAAACATGAGTACCTGAGCTTGTTGTGCCAGGTTCTCAGAGCCCAAAGACCAACCCAAGGAGTTAACACTTCTGATGCAAAAGCAAAAGGTTTCTTTTTATTGTTCAAGCCTGCCAGTTTGAATCTCAGTCCATGGTGGGGGAAATGAGACCCCAAACAGCCAAAAAGAGAAGCTTTTAAAGGGGCAGACCATCAGGTTGAAGGGCACAGATTTTTAGAGTTTCCATGATTACTTAAGGTCATACAAAGTACAGAGTAAAGCAGTAACTATGTATTTTAAGGTAAGACAGGGCATAGGGTTACAGATTTACAGAGTCACAGGGTCTGTCAGTTATCCCCTGGCCTGGGGATCTTTACAACCTTACAAACAGCAATTAGCAGACAGGAATATTGACCCAAGTGGTGGAGAGTCACCTCCCTTTCTCTGAGAGCAGGGCTCAGGTGCCAGCCGCAGCACTCCTGACTTAAGAAGTTAAATTTTCCTTTACTGTTAGAAGTTCCATTTTTCTGTATAGATTTAGGGCTTGAGTTCTTAAACTTTTATTAATTTTAATTTTTGGTTCCTCAAGTTCACATCCACAACAACCGTGTAAAAAATCTGATGTGACTGAACATGTAACCTTAGCACTCAAGGGACAGAGTCAGAAGTTGCTGAGGAAGAATGATGAGCAGTATAAGCAACATCCTCCTCCTACCTCTGTGTACATAGACAGGCACACAAACAGGCCCATATATAACCCACAACGGGGACACACACACACACACACACACACACACACACCGAGAAAAGATTGGGAATGACAAGGGTATAGGAATGAGGCCTTTTAAATTTATTCCCTATTATATCATTTTGATCTTGTTGCTGTTACTCTGAGACAGGGTCAAGTGTAGCCCACGTGGCCAGGCTGGATGGTGCACACATTTAATCCCAGCACTCGGGAGGCAGAGGCAGGTGGATCTCTGTGAGGCCAGTCTGGTCTGCACATCCCAGTTTCAGGACAGCCAGGCCCAAACCAACAAAGACAACCCTTGTAGCTGAACATAATCTTGAATCCTGACCCCCTTACCTCTGCCTGAGTGCTATGCCTTCATGCCCTGCTGATTTTTTCTTTTTTATTTTTGTCATTTTACATTCCAAAAGATTTTTCCAAGTAAACTTATATGAAAACCAATCCTGAAAAGTGGGAGTGTGTGCTGGGTCATCTGACACAGACCCATGGGTAAAGCTTGTCTGGTGTGTGGAGTGAGCCAGGCTTAGCCATGTGGACACATTGATGGTGTCTGAGAAGCTGCCGTGCTTCATGTCTCCAGATGTGGAGCTGGGGTTTGGCTTACACCAAGACTCTCTGTCACCTCTAAACAGGGAAAGAGACAATTTTCTCACCCACAAGGCCAAGAGCCGAAGACTGGGCTAAAAAAAAAAAAAAAAAAAAAAAAAAAACCTGGGGTCAAACAACACAGGTCTGCACTGTATGAATTTGAAAGTATTTCTTGTAACAGCAAAAGAAAACCACACAAACTGTGGATAGTGAACCATTTTGAATTTTGAAGTGTATATAGGATTCCATGCCATAGGTTTACTCAAATATTGAGCGGCCATCACCACTACCCTTCCAAAGCTAGTTATGACTCCCAAAACTCTCAAAGCATTCATGTTAGAACTACCTTATTTAGATCTACTTCCATAGTTTAAAAAGGTTTTAAGCTAGCCTCATTCTGCCTGTCCTGGCAGAATGGGGCTCTACAACTCCAGAGGAACGCAGAATGACACAGGTCATTATCTCTACTCGTCACATGAAATCTGGCTTCAAATACAGAAAGAAGGGCTTGGAAGAGAGCTCATAGCCTACCCAGCGGGAGGAGTGGGGAGACCCGAACAGGCAGCATATTGAAAATGAAACAGGAGAGGCGTTAACAATGGCCCCAGACTCAGGTATAGATATAGGATGGAGAAGTGCCCAGAAGATAAGCGGGGAGTACAAGGCTCTGTTTGCCAGGCAGCAGTGGGATGTGACCTTCCTCCTAGCCTGTGGGTATCCTGTGGGATGGAAGACAGAGGACTCAGGAAGAAGGGAACTTAAAGGTCCCCAGGAAAAGACATCCATTAATGTCCATATACCACTTCCCTCCCACCACCCCCACAGCCTTCTCTCCAGAAATCTCTATCCCAGGCCCCCTCCTTATAGTACCTAGACAGACAGTGGAAAGCTAACCATGTGGGTGCTAGGAACCAAACCTACGTCCTCTGCAAGATTAGCAAGTGCTCCTAAGCTCCAAGCTTATCTTTGCTGTTTGCAGATTTGGTGTCAACCCAAATGAGAACCTGAAATTACATCTCAGGAAATAATCTCATAGCATTATTATATTGACAGCTCATCTGTTTTTTCAAAATTATTTATTTATGTGTATGTGTGCATGTGCATGAGGGTATCAGATCCCCTGGAGCTGGAGTTAGATGGCTGTGAGACACCAAATGCAGTTGCCAGGAACTGAACACCCATCCTCTACAAGAGTAGAGAGTGGTCTTAACCACTGAGCCACCTCTGGAGGCCCTGACAGTTCATGCCTTCACCAGGGCTCTCTGAATAGGAAGACTTAGTTTTGCTTTGTTTTAGAAGGTTTTAATCTTCCCAAGTTTGATTATGTTGCCTAGGAACTCTGACTACTACCCAGTTTGTGTTGGGGGTAGATAAGCAATTTTCTAGCCTTTTAACCTAAACACTTAAAAATAAAACTGCCACCATGCTACACATTCATTGTAGCTATTTGGACTACATTTAAGAAGCCCCATTCTCAGAGGCAGGTGGATCTCTGGGAGTTTGAGGCCAGCCTGGTCTACAGAGTGAGTTCCAGGACAGCCTCCAAAGCTACAAAGAGATGCTGCCTGGAAAGAAAAAAAAAGAAGCGCCATTCTCTGCGAGCAGGTTCATCGGCACTCTGGCTAGCCAAAAGTTCTTAATATGCTTTCCTAAACTGCAAGAATCAAATAGGAAATTAGTCAAGAAACACACAGGTCTGAGTTGAGGGTGGACAGCAGGGCCCAGCCCCAGCAGGGAGGGGCCAGAAGCATGGAACCCAGGATTCTACTCATTAATTCCAGTGTGGCAACTTTCTCAGAGTGAATTTTTCTGGTGTGTGGGTGTCCTTCCTTAGGTACGGTCCATCTTGTTTTTTGAGACAGGCCTGGAGAGTGACAAGAAGACTAGACAGGTTGGCCCTCAAGCCCAGGGATCTGTGTCTCATGCTTCCCCAGTGCTGGGCTAACAAGCCTGTGCCACTACATCCAGACTTTTCTTTTTTTTAAACAGGTGGTGTGGAGATTGACCACAGGACACTGTGCTTCCAAGACAAGCATTTTACCAACTGAGCTATCACTCCAGGCCCGAGGTTGGGGTGTTGAGGAGTGGTGTGTGTGTGTGTGTGTGTGTGTGTGTGTGTGTGTGTGTAAGAGATCAATGTTGAATGTCTTCCTCGATTACACTCCACATTTTTTGAGAAGGTCTCTCATTGAATCTAGAATTATAGATTGAGCTGGATCTACAGACGTGCTGCCATTCAGTTTTTCTGCTTTAGATTTATTTGCGAGTGTGTGTATGTCAGTGTGTGCCTGTCCAAGCAGACTTCAGATGCCATGTGTCAGATCCTGGGGTGTCAAGATTCAGTCATTTGCAGGAAGCCCAACTTGTCATGTGTATGCCGGGATCCAAACTCTGAGCCTCATGTTTGCACAGCGAGCACTTTACTAAACCATCTTCCCTGGCTTCTAAGTGTGAATTTTTGACACAAACCACCTCCCCACTTCCAACACACAAGGTATGGACACATACACATTTAACACATCCCCAGTTGGCACGCCCCACGTTCGGAACAACTCCCATGGCTGGGCTTACTGTTTCACTCTTCCCTAGTCAAGAGCACCAGGTACAGTGGGAATGAAAGCTACGTAAACGCAGCCAAGTGTTCCAGGCACTGCCTGCACTGCACTCTCCACTGACAGCCACCAACATCGCTTGATGTTTCCAGGATACTTTTGACCCTTCCCACCATTGATGACCACATGCCCATTTCTGTAACTCTTTATTTGGGAAATTTTAGTCAAAAATAAATCAACTAGGAAAAATTAAGATTTTTTTGTATGTTAACCAGCAATTGATCTGAATAAGGCACATTCAATATCATCAATACGGAAACAAATGCAAAAAGCAATCATAGTGACATGAACAAGTCAGATATCAATACTGTCAAAGCCATTAAATTTTTAGGTACATAAAGACAAAAATCTGTGGTTAAGAAATCTCGGTTAGATAGAAAAAGATGTAGGTGAAAACCATCTGGCTGCATTTGTCTGTCATATCCTAACAGCAGTGCTAACAGCGCTCCTGTCTTTTAACTAGTACAAGTATAAACCAAAGGCTATGAGACAATGCTCTATCACCAGCCAGCTGTTAGAGTGGGCCACAGGCCGAGCCTCACTACTCCAAACCTGAGGGCTCCCAGGTGAAATTTACTAGAATTATTTCAGTGGTAAGAATTCTCTAGAACTCCTTTACTGATCTCTGAAAGCTAACTTAAAAATCTGAATTTTACCCGGAAGGGAAAAACTTAAGTCCAAAGACAGTTTCTAATCCCCTTGCTTGCTTCTTGGTATTACTTAAGAAGGGATTCCCATTAAAAAAAAAACAAATAATATGTATGTGTATACACACACATATATATGTATGTATATTTCTGTTCTGTGATATTAATTAAACTGTTATGTTCAAACATGTTTGTTATCATGTAGTCACAAATAATTTTACTAAGTCAAGCAATTTATCACAAATAAAGAATTACCACACACACACATAAGGCTGAAAAACTGCAGTGGTGACACACACCTCTAATCCTAGCACTTGGGAGACAGAGGCAGGCAGATCTCTGTGCGTTTGTCAATAGTCTGGTCTACAGAACAAGTTCCAGGATAGGCTCCAAAGCTACAGAAGCTACAGAGAAACTCTGTCTCACAAAAAAAAAAAAAAAAAAAAAAAAAAAAGCTGAAAAATGTGAAAAACAATGGACTAGAAGACAATACATGAGATAATAAATTTTAATTATGTGTACATTTTAAAATAATCTTTTTGTTTAAAAAGTAATTGGGTTGAGCTAGTGTAGTAGTACTCCTTCCTATAATCCCATCATGTAGAAGTTGAAGGTCTGAGAATCACTAGTTTGCGCTATGTAAAGACTGCATCAGAAACAGAAAATCATTTGTTCTGACCCCAAACTCATATATGCTTGTTTTCACTATGATTTTTAAGAGGTCTGGGGATGCAGCTTAGTGGCAGGGCACTTTCCTCAAATGTCAAGGCCCTGCAATACTGAAAAAAATTAATAAAAAGAAGGGTTTTGAAATAGTAGATAGTCTCAGTTGATTGCACTTACATATAGTGGATTTTAACAAAGTCAACAGTAAAAAAAATTGAAAATTAATTTTTGAAATGTATTATATATCTCAAATTTATGTTGACAGCAAATTATGTACAAGGATATTCAACTGAATGAAGAAACTTGTTCCACCTGTGATCTGAGCCACTGACATAAGCTGTGTACAAATACTTCAGGTCGGTTCCTCTGCAGTCTGAGGTAGCACAGGCCGAAGGCCAACATAACAGTTCTGCAAGGCACCCTTGGTTTTATATGAAGTGGTGCTAGTGGCTAAGAGCTGGGTGTGATGGTATACACCTAAACCCAAGCGCGCAGGGGGCTGAGGCAGAAGAAATTACTCTAAGTCTAAAGTCAGCCTTGGCTACAGAGTGAGGACCATGCCAGCCAGGGATATATGACAAGCCACCAGCTTTCAAAACAAATGAATGCAAGTCTAGAAATACAGAAAAAAAAAAATCAAATGTGGCATACAGATTTTTCTTCAGTCCTCTGTTTTACATTGAGTTGACACTCAAATTCCATCCACTAGCCGGGCGTTGGTGGCGCACGCCTTTAATCCCAGCACTCGGGAGGCAGAGGCAGGCGGATCTCTGTGAGTTCGAGACCAGCCTGGACTACCAAGCGAGTTCCAGGACAGCCTCCAAAGCCACAGAGAAACCCTGTCTCGAAAAACAAAAACAAAAAAAAAATTCCATCCACTACGCTTAAACTTCGTGTTTAGGGTCTTTTCTCAAATCTATTGCAAGATTCCTTCAAAATCCCAAATCTTTCTTCCTATGTGCCTCCATAGTTCACATCAAAGGCTCTGGACAAAGCCAATCTGTGTTCTTTCTGTGGCACTCCCCACCCCATCTTTGTGATCCCTCTTAACAATCAACAGAGATCTTCTTAGTGTTCCCTAAAATCCCTACAGACTCAAATAACTTCTTAATTATATACATGATCTCATAGCAGCAGAACAGCCAAAACTAAGTGCAAAAGTCCAGGGCTATTTCTGTTCACGTAATGGAACAGACCCTTTGTGGATCAGGATCCTTTTACTAGAGTTTTACTTTAGAGTTCATGTGTGCTGATGGACAGCTATTGGCCCTACTCTAACAATCATGACTCGTAGCTTAACAACTGATCCTGGCCATGACTTCTCTTTCTCTTCCCTATGTAGAAAGAACATCCTCTTGCATTTCTCCAATTCCTTTCCTACTGGCATTGCTAACTAGCTATCAAGAAACAAATGTAACGTTCCATCATAGCATAGAAAATCCCATTTGGTAAAGTTATGCCAGCTGCTGATACTGGTGTCTCTCTGAAACGGCACTCAGATTTTCACCAGAGTCAATTATGACATTCCAGCCAGCAGTGGCAGCCGTGATCAACAGAAATGAGCAAAAGCCAGAGGTCATGCCTCTACACCCCACAGCAGACCATCAGCAGGCCTCAATCACCCTGTCCAACAGACCTCACTCCACCTTCCTACTCCTAAGCTTTCATCTCTTCCTACCTGAGTTCGTACCTTCTAGAATGCGCCTTCACTTCATCAATGGTTTTCACACTTCCTTCTCAGTTAAACTTTGGTCCACTGAAATCTTAACAGAGAGCCCCAAACACAGCAGTCAAGAGCAGAGATGTTCTCACATGAGGAGGAGCTGGTAGGCGCAGAGAAATGATACAGCCAGTTGGGATTTCTTCATTTCCAGGGATTACTAAAAATGTCTACATTGATTCCAGTACTTGGGAACATTTTTTAAACAATTTCTTTTTATTTTTATATGTATTGGTATTTTGCCTGCATCTATATCTGTGTGAAGGTGTCAGATCTTGAAGTTAGACAGTTGTGATCTGCCATATGGTTGCTGGGAATTGAACCCGGGTCCTTTGGAAGAACAACCAGTGCTCTTAACTACTGAGTCATTTCTTCAGTCCCCAACATTTTTTTTTAATGTAGTTTTTACCTCAGCTCATTAACTCAGCTCATTAATGGAATAAAAGCATACATGCACCAAGTTCTTAGGTAGGATTTGGAGGGATGAATTCTAGTTTCCTGTTTTCATCTACTCAAAGTGCAAATCCACGTAAGACACAACCCCACAACTGCATTATTAAAGTGAGTCTTAAAAACACTTAATACGTGGTAGAAGAGTTCCCTGAAATCACTGGAATTACTAATCTGAGCCCAAACACTGCCCATGAGGCCCTGTGGAGTCCTAGCAAGGCAGCATTTCCTCTGCAATCAGATCTTCCTGTGCAATGATTCTGCCCATGGGCTGGAGAGCTAAACAATCCCTTAGTTTTATGTATCATGCTGTACTTTAAACGTGATCTCCTTAAAAAGGCAAAGGAAACCATCAGGCCAATTGCTAACGTTATCAAAATTTAGACTAGAAAGTTTTGTTTTGTTTTGTTTTTTGAGACAGGGTTTCTCTGTGGCTTTGGAGCCTGTCCTGGATCTCGCTCTGTAGACCAGGCTGGCCTCTGCCTCCCGAGTGCTGGAATTAAAGGCATGCGCCACCAACGCCCGGCTTAGACTAGAAAGCTTTTACAAAAAGAAAAAAAAGAAGAAGATGAAAGTTTCTTTTCTAAAATAAGGGCCTGGGCTTCTCAGCTGTCTCCTCCCGCCTGCTAACAACCATCTCCTTCCAGGGGCACAGAGCCCTCAGACCTGGTTCAATGCTATCTCTGTGCCTGGCTTCACAAAAGGCAGCCTCGCTCTTCTATGGTCTTGACGGGCTGGACGGGCAGCACCAGGTGTGAAATGCGGCTCCACAGCCCACTCAGCTTGTCTGAGTCCATGTGGCTGAAGGAGCTGGGGGTCTCAGAGTTGGTGAATTTAGCCCAGAGTAAATCCCGCACTTTCTCTTCTGTTTCCCTGGGGCCTACGCTTGCTTCTAGTGTTTCCTCCTCCAAAAGGACGGTCAGGACAAGGGCCACATCTTTAAAGGCAGCGTTCTCGTGATCACAATACTTGTAGAAGATCAGGGTGGAGCCTGCAGGAAGGGATTCGAAGTGGTGGACTACAGCAGCCTTATGGCCATTCTCAAATCCATAGCTGAGCTCCAAGTCAACCCACAGTTTGACTGTGTCACTGTCCTGCAGGGCTCTCTCGGCTCCGTCTAAGGAGACAGCTGACACTTTCTGGGAAGAGGTGTAGGCATTGGCCACATGGTGACTCAGGCACTTGAGGGTCTCCTTTCCCTCTCGAGCAGCTGTGAAGATGATGGTGGCTGGCTCGGTGGGGTTTGAGACATTGAGGTGCTTCTGGAGAAACTTACGGCCTCGCTGCCACAAAAAGGAACTCTGACCTGGAAATTTATCCTTCAGTTGGCTAAACTGAGCCAGGAAAGCCTCCAAAGCTGGGTTCTGGGGCACCTGCTGGGCTGGGGAGGAATAGTAGCTACTGACGGAACTTAGCACGAGAGCCACGATCAGGCATCCGAGAAGCATAGGACCTGCCAAATGAGAACAGAGAATGAGAAGAGCGTGAGTCAGAAACACAACTTGTGAGAAACATGAAACACGGGTTTCTATCAAGTCCCCTGGCAACATTACGCTCCCTTTGTCTGAGTCTCCTATACGTTCACACGTAATGTCTAACAGAAATTGATCGTCATGACTTTGAGGCCAGTGTAGTCCACACAAAAAGAAATAAAACAAAAAGCCTGACAGAAATACCTTCTTTAATCTCTTGAAGCTATTTGAATATATACCATCTATGTCAACGTTGTCATATACTTTGTTACAGTCAGTGATGCTTTTGAAAGGTAGTCATGACAACTCTCTTCCACTTTCCAAAAGTCCACACTGGCCAGAGCAGACCACTTTGCAGTCAAAACTTAAAAATGACCCAGACAGGGTGGTGCAGCTTATACATCTCAGCGCGTGGGGGACACTGTGATGCCTGAGCTACACAGGAGACTCGGTCTCAAAGGGGAGAGCAAACAACAAACAACTTCAGTGTGCAATCTGAGACGTTAGCAGCCTCTGACTGAAACGGCAGCTTCTGGAGGCTGAGGCAGGAATGCTGCCATGTGTCTGAGGCTAGCCTGGGCTGCACATGTGTCCCAGTCAGGGCTACACGGCAAAGCCTGCCTCAACAATACAAAAAAAAAAAAAAAAAAGAAAAGAAAACAAAAGGCAGTTTCAGTTTCTTGTATTCTATACAGTATTTTCTGTCTCTAGCAAGGTAGTTCAGTGGTAGGGAGTTTGCCAAGCAGGCACAAGACCCTAATTCAATCCTCCATTGGGGCCAGAGGCAGGGGTGGGGAAGAAGCAGCAGATTTTCTGACCATGAGGATTTCTTATTTGTTAAACAAAATATCAAACAGTAGCCCTGGAGGAAAAAAACTTTACAACTTTATTGCTCCATTTTATTGAATTTATCAATAATTAAAGTTAATATTGGTAAGTGAGATAGTTTTCTAGGCATTTTCCCTGAGGGTCTGCGAATGTAAACCAACTGTGGCAAAGTTAGGTTTGTTCTCACCATAGCTCCAGAGACTCTTCTTATCAATCTTTCTCAGTGAATCCTGTACAGCCTCTTCCTTTTCCTTCACTAACTCCGTCTCTTCTTCAGGACCTCCAGCCTCTAGGGCTAGAAGGAACATTGTTTGTAGACAGCGTACCGTGAGAGTGGGTAGTACCTTTTACCTCTCACCCAATTACATGACAGGATTCTTATACTTTGCAAATTTTCCTTTTATGCAAGCCAAAATTGCTGTTTAGTTCATTTCACTGCATTAGGTTCTCACCACCCTCCACACACACCACATTCAAAACACTGTTTTATTTTTCTACTCATGGTGAACCTCTATAATGGTAAAATTGTAATTGTAGATATTTGTCCATTCAACAGCATTCATCAATTGTTCATTCATTCATTCATCCATTTTCTCACTCAAAAATTATTCATAAAGTCGTACCTATATGTTGGATGCCAGAGAAATACAATGAAAGAAATAAGCTAAAATATTCTGATGGAAACATTTGAGACATACTAGGTATCAGGGATTGCGATGGGACGGTCAAGTCCTTGATGAATGCTACACCTTGGTACTAGAACAAGGGCATTTCAATGAGCTCTCCAGAGTTCTTCCCAAAGCACTAGGCACGGTACTGCAGGACGGCAGAAGTGAGGCTGAGGCCAACGAGGGCCACAGAGTGAGATACTATCTCAAAACGAGAGCAACAAAAACCAGCCAAGCAACTACATGTGTGTATTTGTGCTGATTTATACACATTTACCTGCTGATTCACACAATACTTTGTTTTTCAAAGGACAAGAAAATTGAAAGTTTGTAATTAAGTATCCTCATAAGAAATAAAAGATTTTTTAAGTTGTATTCCTTTTTGTCATATTGCATGAATATAAAGAGTAAATAAAAACAATATTTAAAGATGTAGTTTGTGGGACTGAAGAAATGGCTCAGTTGTTAAGAGCATTTGCTGCTGTTCCAGAGGACCAGGTTCAATTCCCAGTATCTCCATGGTGGCTCACAACCATCTGTAAAGCCGGTTTCAGGGTAACTGACACCCTCCTCTGACCCCTTGAATACCTAGCATGCACATGGTATACAGACATACTTGCAGGCAAAACAGCTATACACATTAAAAAAAAAAAAAAAGCAATTTGTAAGCCATCAAGACAGCTCAGTGGTTAACAGTGACAAACCTGATGATCTGAGTTCAAGTTCCAGGACCCACATGGTAAAGACCTGAAATTATTCATGCAGGTTGTCCTTTGACCTCTGTAAGTTCACTGAGGCACCTGCCCAAACACAGACACACACACACAGACACACACACACACACACACACACACACACACACACACACACACAAGAAACAAATGAAACATGTAGGCAGCAAGTACCTACAGTAACTGAGCTAGTCGGAGAGACTGGAAACCTCACTTCAGCACCCTATTGCTTTGAAAGATTCCGCCACACCCCCAGGGAAACACAAGGCAGGCTAACAGCAGTTCAGAGGGTTCTCTCACCTGACGCAGGCAGTCGCCTCCTCAGTAAATCCTGGCTCCCTGGGTCTTCACTGGAATGACCGGGACTCGGGCCATCGGTGGAGTCTGCAGCAGGTGGCTCCTGATCAGCCTCACATCTGTCACCTGCTCCCTCTGGGGGGTCTGTGGAACTGCTCCCCAGGTGTGCATCTGCACTTCCTCCCTTGCTGCTTTGAGAGCAGTTAGGATCCAGATGCAGGGCCTCTCCACCCAGATGTTCCGAGGGAGGGTGATGCCCCTGCTCTGTGTCCTGGGAACTCAGGCTGCTCTGGTGTTCTGCTTTGTCCACCGGATGCTTTCCTGAAGCCATTTCCTCTGAACTTTCTGGCTTGTCACCTGTGTCTGCGTGCTCTTGACCTTTGGCCCCTACCTCATGATGGTCATCCTTGAGATCTGATGCAGGAGGTGGGGTCTGGGCTTCTTCATGGTCACTGGGTGTGACTGTGGTGCCCTGTGCTTGGGAGTTGATGGAGGAATCATTTCCTAAATCCTTTTGAGAGTCTATTGAAATAAAAACATTTTATTTAAAATGTTTTACCCATAGTTTTATAGTCTAACAAGGTCTGCGATTACATACATACATACATACATACATACATACATACATACATACATACAACTCAGGTTGGATCCCTGAGGCCTGCATGGTAGAAGGAGGTAAGCAACTCCTGCAAACTGTCCTCTGGCTTTCACCTGCACTCACACACATACACACATAGGATGTAAAAACCAAAACCTGATGTCCTCTTTCTCTTCTGAAAAAGCTATTTCACACTTGCCCCCCCTTTTATGCACATTCCCCTATAAGTCACAGGTTGTCTTCATTAAATAAACAGGATTCTAAAGATGAGTCTACCATCGTTTTAAATGATGCATAGCATTTTGCTAAAATGACCGCGGCCTATTACAGGAATATAAAACATTTAACTTTCTTATAATTAGATTTGATATTATGTAAACGTCAGCAAATATGAAAAAGGTAAGAATAATAAGCTAGCCCACTGAATTACGAGTTTTTACTTCAGTTCCTACACACACACCCAGTGCTACGAGGGCTAGTCTCACCTCCCACAGGGTCACTGCAGCCACCGTCCATCATGTTCATGTCCTGGCTTTCCAGAATCTGGGACATCTTTTTAGTATCTGGGTTTTGTTGTAAAGATATCTTGTTTTCTTCTTGTTCCAAGTTCCAATAGACTCATGCTTCCCATGGAAGGAAGAAGCAAGGAATATATACAGTGACTAAAATAAAATGAAAAACAAACAAATGACTTCATCCATTCGAGGGCAAAAACATCAGTTTCAGCTCTGAATAGGATCTCCTTAGTCTTGTGTTATGTCTTAAGAAAGGCTGCTCTCTGGCTTTCAGAAGCATCCCATCCCACGCCCAGCCTGGGCTATAGCAAGTCCTAAGCTGGCCGTGACCTTGCAGCAGTCCTCTTGCTGAGACCTGGGACCACAGGCATGTGCTGCCATGCCCAGCCTCCTACTAAGAAATACGACAGTAAAATTACAACTTCAGAGAAGACAATTTTCTAGTATATTAATTATAACTAAAAAAAAAAGAATATTTTGAAGGCTGTAGGTGTAGCTCAGTGGTGGACTTCTTTAATCACCAGTATCACATTAAAAAATTATAACCAAAATATGTCAAGTGACTCCATTTACAGGGAACTTTGAACTAGACAAGTGATTAAAATCTACAGTGAAAAGAAAAACAAGTTAGTGATTGCTAAAAGCATATGGACGTTGGAAAATGGGGGCAATCAACATGTTCCATTTGTTGTCAAACTTAAAGCCTGTGTGTTTACTGTATGTCTTTTATTCTTAACATTATGACAAATAGGATGCCCTAAAATGTTTCATCTAGTTACAGTGCAGTAAAAAGCAGTGGCAAAGAAACCACCATAGCAAATTCTCCAAACACTCAACATACATTTCTCTCTTGAGTACACGCCAGCCCAGCAGCTACTCTCAAACCCCTGGTAAGCCCTCACCTCTGTACAGGGTTGAAACAGCATTCCCTCAAAAAATAAGTAGGACAAACATGTTTTTTACCTCAAGTCACAAAGTCACATGGTCTGGTATCTGAGCCATCTGGAGGCTGCTGTTTCAGTATCAGGCAAATCTTTTGAGCAGTGACTAGTCCTTATTAGGAAGTGATTTCATTTGGAACCTCACAAAGAAAGTGAGGCAGAGGCTGGGTATTGTGGTGAGCCTGCAATCCCAGCACTTGGGAGGCAGGGCAGGAAGATCATGAGTTTGAGGTCATCTAGACTACAAGGCAAGCTCCAGACCAATCTGAACTACATGAAAGACCTTATGTCAAATAAATAAGTAAACAAATAAGCAAAAAGTGAGGCCATGCCTCAGTGATAAAAAAAAAAATGTATTGTTGGAGACTTTCTGTAGCCAGAAAAACTGATCCTTAGCTGTCTACAAAAGGTATTTGACACTTATGTTTCTCACAAAGCACAGGAATGTGTCTCAAATGACACACATTTTTTTTAAGTGAATCTCTTCCAAGTTCAATTGTGAAATGTTGGTTTTCAGTGTCCCACAGTAATTCATTTTTCTACTAAGTAAAACTTAGCTTGATTCTCCCTGGATCATGTCCACTTTAACCCTAACCCTGTAACCTGGAGCAAACCTTGACCATTCTGCTTTATCTTTTCCAGGGCTTGGAACGGGTAAAAGTTCTAAGATTTACGCTCCACTCGTGAAGACTACACAAAATGGTAGCTTACATTTTTCTGACAAATGTGGCAAAATGTCTTTTAGATCAGGTGCAAACATCTGTTACGTCTTGCAGTTTTCTCTGTGTTTAAGATAATTAGTAACTTTTAAAAATTGAATAATGGGCCAGGTGATGGTGGAACATGCTTTTAATCCCAACACTCAGGAGACAGAGGCAGGTGGATCTCTGTGAGTTTGAGACCAGCCTGGTCTACTGAGTGAGTTCCAGGACAGCCAGGGCTACTCAGAGAAACCCTGTCTTGGAAAACCAAAATTAACAAATAAAAAACAAGCAAAACCAAACAAAAACAAAACAAAACAATGGGTAAAGGAGCTGCTGTAATGAGCAAGAACACCTGCTTTAAAACATGAGGACCTGAGTTTGAATCTTCAAGGCTGGTTAGTTAGCCAGATTAACCAAAATAGTAGGAATAAGTTGAAAACTGATAGGGGGAAATTGGCATGTTCTCTGCTGGCTTCCACATATACATGCATGGGCACAAACACACACAAACTCACATGCAATGACCACACACCCACACATACCACAGTAAAAAAAAGAAAAAGGAAAAACAAAGAATAACAAAATATTTGCCTCTGTACAGAAAGTACCCATAAGGGCCTATAATGACAACCAGAAGTGCACATGAAGCCTCAGCCACAGCCTCCTACACATTTTATATCAGACAGGACAAGGGAAAGCTGTGTGTGGAGAAAACTCAGGGCTGGCAGGGCCTAGCTCATCCTTCTTGTCCTGCAAGTCTCAAGTGTGGCCAAAGGGACACATGGGAAATAAGGAAAGACAGAGGTCTGGAGAAGACAAAAGGGAAGGGCAAGGTATCGGGAGCAAAGAGGAGGAGGTGGGAGTAACGCTCAGTACAAATAGAGCAAAGGGCCATCAGTGTCTCCGGAACAGAAGCAGACACGAAGGACATCATGACAAATGCATAGCAGTAGGGTCTGATATATTTAAACATACCTTTCTTAGTAAACTATGCCATTTTAGGCTCAGAACAGGTGTCCTAGACATAAGCAATTTGCCATCCTGCTCTGGCATCGAAGACCACAGCATACCTAGCAGCTGTGGTCATTAACATTGATTGAATGCTGTTCTTGATCATTTAGAGTGCCTTCTTGGTGCCAGGCAGCCAAACATGTATTATTAGCTCAATCTTTGCAACACTGCACAAAGTAGAAACTATTCTAATATTCTCACGACTTTCCAAACCAAGATAGGGTTAAGAGCCTTACTCAGGAACATGTGACTCAAGGAAGCAGGATCTAAAGTGAGGTGATCTGCCTTTAACACCCAGTATTTTAACTGAGACCCTAAAAAAATGCTTAAAACACTGCACAGGTCTTTGACTCTGCCACGGTTGATCTAGGTTTGAACTGGGACTCTAGTATATACAGTCTGAGCAAATCTGCAGATTCTTCAATACTCCCCCATTCCCAAGGTAGCTGGCTGGCCTGGAGCTCACTATGTATGTACATCAAGCTGGCCTTGAAGGCACAGAAATCTTCTTGCCTCTCTGGTGCCAGGATTAAAGGCCAGCACCACCATGCCTAGCTCAGATCCATAACATTTTTCAGAATGTTTATTTTAATGCTGTATAAAGTCTGTAGTAACACCAATTTATATCACATTGGTATTAAGACACAAAAGACATTATAGCCATCTTGGGCCATTTGTCCCTCCTGGCCTCACAACCTTCATACCTGAGACCACGTGACTTACAACTCCTGCTCACGTCCCAAGATCAATCATGTCCTCCGGTCAGATTTTTTTGATAATTCAAGCATCAAGTTCTAACTGACTCTACTTGTTGCTGCTTCTTTGTCCTTTTCTCTAATTCTAGTTTCTGCTTTATTGTCCCTAACCATTTTCTGTCACGTGATCAGTAAAGTGTGTAACAGTATGAGGCAGGCACTATCACTGCCTCCCATGGGAGAAACTAGTCACAGTGCCCAAGGCCCTTTAATAGAATTAGAATACAAACCCAGAAACTGTAAGGGTATTATTCTTCCCTCATAAAAAGCAGTTTTCACTGAGTTTAGGGGTGCACACCTGTAATCCCAGCTCTAGGGAGGCAGAGGCAGGCAGATCTCTTTGAGTTTGAGGCCAGACTGATCTCTAGAAAGGCCTTGATTCAAAACAACAAAAAACAACAACAAAGGCCATGTTGTTAAAAATCCATGGAGACTCAAAGGAGGTGAATGACCTCACTTTTTCAGATGACTATGACAGTAGACTGACTGTCACATTCTTTGGATGCCATAGCCTCAGACATGCTTGTATGGCTGAGGCTTTCCCTGTAACTTGGAGACCTCAGTCACTTCATCCCATAAAAGCAGTCTTTCTGGTGACTGTATTTTTCTTCCAGTCTACCCCAAAGTTTCTATTCCCAAATCTGCCAGACAGTAATGGGAATTTATGATGGTCATATTAAAAATGTTATCATTATATATATTTTTATCAACTCACCCATACTATGAAAAGACTGTAACAGACACAAAACATTATCTCAGATCATTTTGATTTTAATCATTAGAATTTAATCAAATTAATCATATTTTGGTAAAATCCATTATTCATATGTAACTTCTAATCTACAGAATCTTAAAAGTATTTTTAGCCAAGTGGTGGTGGTGTACGCCTTTAATCCTAGGCAGAGGCAGGTGGGTCTCCGTAATTTGAGGCCAGCAAGGACAGGCCCCAAAGCTACACACATATATATTTCCAAAGACCTAAGCTACAAAAGGCTACCTTCTCTGCTCAAATTTCAGCTCTTCCACATGATATTGACTTCTGGCAGCTTATATACTGGGCATTCTATGTTACATATGAAGGCATAGTTTTACAATGTCATCACCCATAGCTGCTGGTGAAGAGGGCAGAACAGTTCTGATTAATTGCTCAACTTGTACTTGCAGTACTGAGAGCTCACCAAGCTCCCCTTTTAAGTCAAGTACCTACTACGGATGTACTGGTGCAGGTTGCAATGTATGGTCGGTCCATAGACCTCTTATATTAGTTTACAGACTAAGAAATTTTTAATTTAAAAGTGCTTGTTTAAGAGAACTCCATGGTAATTCTTTGTATGTTGACACTACTAGTTAAAAAGTTGGTTAAAATAAAAATTTTGTATTTTGCCAATGTTTAACTCTCAGATGTGTAGAATCTTATGTCCTTGGGGCATAGGCAGTCTTAACTAAAGAAACGAAGAGGCAATAATAGCCTCTAAAAAGGCTGTCTGGGGAACAGCTTTAGAATACAGTGAGGGAGTACCTCACTGCAAGTTAATGACTGGCTAGTCTTCAAGTTAGCAGTCCACACAGTTTTATTCAGCAATGTACCAGGAGAACCTCCACATGATGGACACAGGCAGACACAGGAGTGGCTCACTAAAAACAGTCTTTATAGAAACAAACACAAACCAGGGTTTACAACGTGTGGAAAGCAAGCTTTGTTGCGTATCAACAGCTATTCCTTCTTCCACTTCCACCCTTAAAAGATCAGTCTTATCAGCGGAGGCGGTGTGCCATATCTGGGCAGGGCCAATCTTCTCCTTTGCCAAGTTTATCTCAGACTAGTGTGTGAACCAGTACCTGCTAACGAGATATTTAAAAAAATCTGCCGAGACGGTTCAGAAAGATTTTATTTCCAAATTAAGATTTGTATAAAGAAAGCCATGTGTCCCCTGCTGTCTGGCACAATAAACCATACTGAATTCATTTAAGAAACAACTGTGAGAACAAAATGCAACCATAAGGACCCTGGGGTCAGGGAGAGAAGAACCTAGCTCTCTGACAACATTCCCTCCACTACATAAGCACTGGATCACCTAGAATCTCAAAAGGGATTTAAGAATTATTCAGTGGCTTCTCAGATATTCCCAGGAGTTTTTCCTAAGTTGCTTAACTCCAAATCTGATTCCATGATTTCCATGAACAGGAGAACCCAGAATGTGGCCGATGCTCAGTAACACATTCTTATGTGTAAAACAAAGCATCCACTAAACTAGCCTTAAATTGTATGGAGTTAAGTGTTATCGTTTGTTATAAATTCTATAGTGCAGGTTATTTTTCCATTTCCATGGGAGGACATTAAATTCAGTCACCACAAGACAGAACAGTCTTTGGTTATGGAGAGACAAGTAAGTGTAAACTGGCAGCATTCTCAACCCTTTTTTTTGTAGGATTTGACAAATAGAATGTGAAAGGACCAATTATCAACACTGTAATTGAGGATAAAAGTGTCAAAGATGATTTTACATATATATATGAAAAAATTCTGTATATACATACACATCTCACTATTGATCAGTATATAAGGAAAAATTTAGAACAATGTAGTGTATTAAAATTTACTATAATAATCTAGAATCCAGCTACAAGAATGTGTTCTCATAAAAGTTACTGTTAGAAAAAGTTAATGGGGCATACAACATGGGGCCTCCCTCCAGCCCACATTACCAATACTTAGGAGGGGCAATATAGTTCTAAAGCATTTGTATGGATTATAGGTTAGTCTGGTTTTAAGTAAATAGTTTGTAATACTGGCTAAATCTATGCTAAAAAAAAATAATAAAATGCATAGATCACAGAAGCAGACCCAACAAGTTAAGCAGTTGGCAAAGTAGCGACAGTCTGAGCCAGATTTAGAAAGGAGGGCCTCGGGTCAAACTCAGTGGAAGAGCACTTGCCTAGCTAGCATGCGCAAGGGCACCCAGATTCAATCCCTAGCACCTTAAAAACATAAGAAAGAAAAAGAGAAAGAACAGAAACAAGTCACTGTTCATCTCCCCTAGGCTATGAACACAAAGCCCTGGAGTCTTCATGGTTCTGTTGCAGAAGTCATTTGCTCTGGCCAAGTTTTTTGTTTAAGGTTTTATCTGTTCTGGTCAAGATTAATTGTAATGCAGGATTAAAACCAGCTACTCTGGAGTCATGTATCCTTTTTCTAACCAGTGGAGGACCCAGAAGAAATGGGTGACAAGCTTTCTCAAAGGTCCACCTGGTGAGATTTTGAGGTGCCCACTCAAGTGGGAAAGACCAAGGCAGAACAAGGCTTCTATTAGCAGGATTGTCAGGATAACATTCAGGGCAGTAATCAGCCCTGTTAATACGGTCTAAGAATACTTGGTAACATTCATTTTCAACAAGTTCAGTTTGGTATAACCAATGCCCTAGTTCTAAACTAGGGAACCATTGCTGTCCACAATCAGGGCAGTGTGAATTATCGGAGAACATCTGGACTGAGAAAGACAACACAAGCAATGTAACAGCAAAAGGCAACAATGACAGAGAGAGAGAAAGGCAGTAGGCAACAGTCAGTCTTGTTACAGGCTTCCTTTAGCAACTTCTCAGTTCAACAACACTTGACTGTTAATTCTGGCTTGAACCTCAATGCAGTTCTTCAAAATCTTGTCGTCTATTTTTCACTTAATTGCAACTCAGTCTCTGTACTCAGGGACCAGTCCAGTCTAGAATACTACCAGTCACTTACTAGCAGCACAGATCACAGAATAGCTCCTTCCAATCCCAACGCCTTAAGGAAAGCCAGACTCTAGTCTGAGCTGTTGAGCAGTATCAGCTGGTGATGGTGTCACACAAGAGCACTCTGCTCTGCCGGTAAGGTGATTGTGCGTGGTAAAACAGTCACTGGCAAATCCAGTGAGTCTTGTTTTGATGCTGGCACTCTTGCCTGATGACTCTTTACAGTGCTGTAGTAGGGTCAGGAAAATCTCTTCAGTGGATCCAATGAAGTCTTGAAAGGACCTTTATCTGGATCCAGTCACAGAGGAGTAGCTGATGTTGATCGTGCAGGATGGTCTGGAAATGCGTCACATACCTGCAAATGATAAAACTTCAGACGACTCATATGGGCTTTGCAGTTGCTCACAATACTAGAAACATGCATTTGAGAATTATTTGCATTAGTCAAGGTAAATGACAACAGTCTCATGGGTTTCCCCACAACTTAATTTCTGTCAAACCAACCCAACCATTTGAGAGTTACTTTTCTGGACAGTGAGATGGGTTTTGAATCACTTAGGATTTATACGTGGATTGGTGTGGTTTTTCTTCCTTTTGGGGGCGGGCTACATTTTTTTTTCTACTTCTTTTGTATTTTGAGACTAAAAGATCTATGTATCACTTCTGTGAAATAGGTACCATAAGGTATTGCCTAACATGTGGGTACCAATAACTATGACAGCCTTCCCAACATAGGCTTCAATCTAACCATGAAAAATCTTAAACTATTAGGCATTTATTTATTCATTCATTCATTTTTTTTGAGACAGGGTTGCTCTCTGTAACAGCTCTGGTTGTTCTGGAACTCACAGGCTGGCCTTGTGAGATCTGCCTGCTTCTGCCTTCCTAGTGCTGGGATTAAAAGTGTGCACCACCAACAGCAAGCTAGACAGTATTCTTAAGCAGCTAACTATAAAAAGTTAAAAACTCTTTCGAAAGTTGAAAAAGGATAAATGGAGAAGGTCTCACTGTCTTGTTTTCCTGTATAAGTTGACACACACTGTCAGTTTAAGATGACCTGTAAAACACTGCCATGAGCAACAACTGAGCTACTCATGACCTGAAGTAGCAGGCACAAGGTAGGGACACATGGATCAAGATGGCTGCGTGGGAAGCAGCAGTTTATCAGATTACAGTATGTGTCCTGCCATTCTCCAGTAGTTTTTATAAATCCTGGGGCTCAATCATGTGGCAACAGGGACATTGAAAATAATGTAACAGGGGTCTCAAAAGCAGGAACTACAGGGCTGGACCTACTCAGCCAGAGCAGTTCTCAAGAGACTCGGGATTTTACAATGACAAAGGGAAAGGCAAGTGAGCCCCTGACAATATAAAAGCAGGACCAAATTCTAATAGGAGACAGGGAAGCATATATGTAGCCACATGCTTTTTGAGGTTAGGTAACTGGGTACCAGGCTACCAATTCAGGTCCTCAGTTTCTAAAGAAATATCTGAGAGTCAAATGAGGAATAATAGATTTCACTGACAAGCTGATAACAGCCCTCATAACAAAAATTTCAGCTGCTAGATTAAGTCTTGGGTATCTAGTTATGATACAGACAGATAATAAACAAGCCCTCCATAATCTTGAAGGTTATTAAACATACATCAATGAAAAGTGAAGTTATGTAAGTCTGGCATTTAAAAGATACAGAACTTAGCCAGGCGTTGGTGGCGCACGCCTTTAGTTCCAGCACTAGAGAGGCAGAGGCAGGTAGGTCTCTGTGAGTTCCAGGCCAGCCAGGATAGGCTCCAAAGCAAAACAAAACAAAACAGGATAGAGAACTTTGGATGTTTAGAACATAACTTTGGATGTTTAGAACAAAACACAGTTAAAAATCACAATAAAATAACTATGGGGAGACTAATAATCCTGCAGGGGCTCCAGACACTGTAAGCAAAACCATTTCTCCAAGTTCACCATCAAGACAAAGCCCTGAAGGCCTCAGGAATCAGAATAGCTCTACCCTTCCCTCAGCATACATCTTATCCCTCCAACTTCACTGTCAAACAAGCACCATACCTCAAATTACTCATGAATAAGAACATCACTGCTACCTGTTCAGACAAGCCACCCTGGTCCTTCAAACTATTATAGTAAGAATCCAAAAGCGGTTCCAGCCTCTTCACTCATTCTTTATACTTAACAAATTATAGATTGGGAATGAAGAGGGAGCCAAGAAATGCTCATGGAAAGACCCAGCCCTAATATTAACAACTTCACTACCACTATTTGCTTGAAAGCCTCAGTACCAACTCCATACCATTCATGTTAATCCCAAGAACCTCGGGCCTTCTCCATGAATTGTTGCCACAGCTGAAAGTGTATGAGAAAATACCCAATACTTGGTTTTATATACAACTTTGCTGTTGATGTTTGGTCACTAAAGCATAAACAGTCGAGACCTGGGATTTGTGTACTTTCACTCTGTGTTACAAGGATCTCATTCCATATCACAAGTATTTCTTTAACATACTTTCACATTCCATTTGTTTGGTATGTGTGTATGAGCATGGACATGCCATAGCATACACATGGAGGTCTGAGGACCAGGGTGTCAATCCCAAGTAGGTTGTCGCTGGACTTGATGACAAGCACCTATACCCTCAAACCATCTTTCCAGTCTTAAGAAAGTAAATGAAAATAAAGGACAGCCTGAATCCCTACTTTTTTTTTTTTTTTTTTTTTTGGTTTTTACGAGACAGGGTTTCTCTGTATTGTTTTGGAGGCTATCGGTCCAGCCCGGCCTCAAACTCACAGAGATCCCCCTGCCTCTGCCTCCCGAGTGCTGGGATTAAAGGCGTGCGCCACCACCGCCCGGCCTGAATCCCTACATTAATGATAAGAGTATAAATTAATATAACCACTTTGGAAATTAATTTGACAATATCCATAAGCTAAGAAACAAAAACCCACTAAAAAACAAAACAACAAAAAACCCTACAGTAGGGCCAACATCAAAGCTTAAATGCATTCATATAACCCAAATACTGTACAAAACACAGATCTGCGCCGGGCGTTGGTGGCGCACGCCTTTAATCCCAGCACTTGGGAGGCAGAGGCAGGTGGATCTCTGTGAGTTCGAGGCCAGCCTGGTCTACAAGAGCTAATTCCAGGACAGCCTCCAAAGCCACAGAGAAACCGTCTCGAAAAACCAAAAAACAAAAACAAAAACAAAAAAAACACAGATCTGCTTTTTTTGTTTGAGAACACGAGCACTTAGGAGACAGAAGCTCTAAGGACTGCAAGTTCCAAACAGCCAGGGTAAGTACAGACATCCTCCCTGACGAACAAAAAACTGAATTCTATTTAAATCCCCTAAAATGTGTATACCAATTAACAGTAATGGCTTTATATGGGTTAAATAATTTAACTATTCTGATCCTGTTTCATTCTTCTTAATAAATGTTAGTATAAAACCCCAAATCTACAAGTTTTTTAAGATATGTATCTTTTAAATTTTGTGTGTATGAGTGTTTCCTTTCTTGTATGTATGTGTATGATATGTACTCCTGGTGTCCACAACAGAGGTCAGAAGAGGGTATTAGCTCCCATAGAACTGTATACAGACATTTGTGAGCTGCCACATGGGTGTTGGGACTCAAAACAGGGTCCTCTAGAAGAACAACCAGTGTTCTTAACCACTAAATCATCTCTCCAGCACCACACCCCAATCTGTTTTGTTTTTAGACATGATCTCATGTAGCCCAAGCTGGCCTCAAACTCAATATAACTTTGACCTGATCCTTCTGTCTTGGCCTTCAGGAGTGGTGGGATTACAGGCATACCCACCACTTCTGGTTTATGTGGCACTATGGACAGAAGCCATAGCTAGGTAGGCACTCTACCAACTGCTTACTTGTCTGCTTGCTTGTTTGTAGCCTGATCGACCTAGACTTTCCCATGTAGATCAGGCGGGCCTCAAATTAACTCAGATTAAAAGTGTGCCACCATGCACCAGTCCAAATCTACCACTGACACTACTGATCTATATATTATGTATAACATTTTTAAAAAAATCTTTGGGGGGCTGGAGAGATGGCTCAGTGCTTAGGAGCACTTGCTGGCCTTTGTAGGACTGGGTTCCATTCCCAGCACCCACAAGGTGGCTTATAATCATCAGTTGTTCCAGTGGACCCAATGCCCTCTTCTGATCTCCATAGGCACCAAGCATACAGGCAAAACACTTGTACATAAAAATAATTATTTTAAAGTTAAAAAACAAGAAAAGGTAAGTGTTTTGATTCTCTAGGATTATCATTTTAAGTATTTTCCCCTGGGGTATTCTGAGGTTAATAAATAACTGTTAATTGTCTTCCTTTTGTATAATAGCTTCACCAACTTTTTTTGATTTTTGAGACAGGGTTTCTCTGTGTAGTCCTGACTGTCCTGAACTTGCTCTACAGACCAGGCTGGCCTTGAACTCAGATCAGCCTGCCTCTGCCTCCTGATTCAAGGCATGTGCCACTACCGCCCAGCTAAGTTTTACTATATTATACACAAAGTAAAATGATAAGCACTTCGTATCCCACACCTAGTTCTGAATTCAGATGGCATAGTAAGGATTTATTATCTTTACAACTGAGCACACACACTTCTCTTCACAACAGTGGACAACTGAAAAGTATGCTAGGCTAGCAAACAGCTGCAAATGTTCTCTCTCACTCCAAACTGACAGTAAAACAGGTGTGGCCATGCACATGTCCAATGGATCGTGCATGGACACACGCACATTGCAAGCATACTTAGATGAGGGGGAGAACGACACATGACACCACAAATAAGCATAAAGAACTATTTTAGACTTTTATTGGCACAACTGTATCTACTCTGCCCTGCCTGATTCACTCCATGGCTCAAATTCTGTCTGCAGGTTCAGCTTAAAACATCAACAGTCAAACATTTAAAGCTAAACTGCAGTTTGATCTGATGCCAAACTTTTATTTTTTTGTACTAGGTAGTTGCATCTAAATCTGTTAGTATCTGTCTATTATTGCAATATCCTGGGTATATATTATCTTCACTAACTGGCAACAAGTGTTTAAACAAGTGTGAAAGAGTTTAAAGTAAGGGGAAATACTCCTTAGAGATGTTTTTAACATAGA